AACAATCGATCGGGGAATTGAATTGATTACTAGATTTATCGCGGTCAATGATCGGTGCACGATAATCCAGCATCGTTTCTTCAGTGAAAGCGGAGTATTCTTTGCATTGCGCAATTAATGTGACGGGACGCATTAGCTCGCGACAACTAGGAGGAAGAATGTATATTGGCGGGTCGACTTTGTTCCTGGTGAGTGGAGAGCGAATTACACGTATGTCGAAAGACAGCAACGATATAATTTTCGAGTCCCTCTCCCGCTCTCCGGCAGCGAGCCTACCATCAACCAAGAGCGTTTTGCGCCACGTCGTCGTAATCGACCGTTTAATTATAATCTACGTCGCGTGCGTTTCGTACATACGGTAGAAAGCTACGAAGACTTCCTCGAGAATCGAAATTACCGCTACGTAAGAAAATTAATGTGACGTCGCTCATAATTCAAGACGATGCGCTCGAGAGTATCGTATTTAAAGTAAAGAAAAAAAAATGATACTTCTATAATAGCTGAATAATGACAGACGCGTTAATTAATAATCAGCGTAATAATCAGAACTGCAACGCTTGATAAGGATTTTATGTGTTTATTTGCTTCATTCTCAGCTTTCTTAGATCCGATACCATCGTTTGAATTACTACTTACATCTAAAAGTAGCCAGTCGAGTTAAATGTCTCTAGTCGAGAAATATAATCGTACATAATATATTAGGCTCATTTGAGACCAAATGCAATATCTTGCAATATCTTGTTCGCACTTTGAAAAAAGTGCGAGAACTTGTTGGCTGCAAGTGACCTATGAAATGTCACCAGAATTCTGGAATTACTTTACATTCTGGTATCGAAATTCAATTGCCAATCTTATTTTTTCTTCATTAATCTAATTTAATTAGTTAGGACTGTATTTTACCGATTCTTGAAGAATCTTTCTCGTCCGATGACATCTGCGGGAGTGTGTTGTTTTGCACTATATCCGCGATGCTTAATTCACTTCCGCATTCGCTTAGCATATCTGAATAAATTTCTCGGCTATTATTCTCATTAATATAAGAGAAATTATTTCTTAATATATCTTCGCATTCTTCGTATCTTAGTAAAAAAATCTCAAGTCAACGCGCGCGAGTGTAGCAATAATTAATCATATTAATTGAATGTAACGCGCTAAATAAGGAGTTGAACACATTAATTATACGTAATATGCTTTTAAAGTAAAGAACACGATGATACGACGAGCGTTCTCTTCCCGGTTGCTCAGGACGCTCAGAATTTCACATAAAGATTTCGTGCTAAATTACGCGGTGAAATTGCACATCGGAATCTCGAGTGTCCTTTCGTTCGCACACGTTTGTGTTGTGTGCGCATGCACCTTCGATTTCTGCCCGATCGGCGACGAAAAAGTATGTCGTAACCTAGATATAGAAAATATTTTATCGGTTTTTGTCATCTGAAAAATATCAATTTTATAGACATATTTGTCCTTTGCATTGAACCGTTTAATCAAACGTTCTTCTAATCATCGGATTGAATTTCTTTTTCTATGGTTATCTAGATATTCGAGATTGAAATTGATCCATGGATAGATCCGGTTCGACCGGTTTTTCCGAGAAGAAGAATGAAAATTTATGCTCGTGATTATCGACGATCCGCGGGAAAAAAATCGTTTAATACCGTCGATGTTAATATCGACCGATCTTTTATCGAGTCGTCGTGATTGCGAATCATCTGGATGCATCTAGAACGAGCGAATTGATAATTAATATCTCGCGCATTTACGCAGGTATGCGCGACGCGTAAATTCTCGCGCGCGTCTCGTCGTTTTTTAGTGACACGGCGCTGGAGGAAAGTAAAAAGCCGGAGTCGACAATCAGGTCAAGGCCCCTTTATTAGTTGTTTTTCATTGTGCCACGCGTCGTTGGACTCGTCCCTCCAATCTTCGATCGAAGACGCGTGTCCGAAAGGCCTTCGGGGCATCCGGCGGATCCTTCGCGATCCACCCTTTCCTCCTCGGCAAGTACCGAGGAGATTGACCATTTAGAGGAATTAAGGTCACGGATGTCAGCTATTATCATATGTGGAACTGGACGCATCGATGTTTCGATTAACGTTAATAATAGATAAGTATCTGCCTTATACGTTTAGATAATCATAGTTTTTGTATCGCCATATATAAATGCTTTTATACTGCTTTTATATATAAATCACATTTGCTTAAAAAATTATTATTATTACATAGATATTAATCACAAAGAGTTGCTTACTCTATAATTTTAGTGGAGAATAACGCCTCGCTAGGTAAGAGTTTCATTCATCGGTAATTCTATTGATGCGCACATAGATAAAGAATCGAATGCGAAACAGCGCGATGCTCGAAACTGCATTTGCATCATCTTCGTCCCGCTTTCGTTCGGGATCTCGAAGTATCCATCCATGCGCTATAAAGTTTCCGTCTGCATCGCTGGCAGCAGACGCTTTCGCAAGGCTGTGCAGAGCTATTAAGACCGAATGTCTATAACGATGGCCGACGATGGCGGGTTGATTGACCCGATCGGCAAAACTAGGCTTTACCTTTCCCGATGCTCCATCTGCTTTTCCCGACAGACTTACGATCGAGAAACGTTTCCGGCTCGTTAAACCGCTCGGGAGATTGTTGCATGTTAGAATTTTCGCGGAAATGGGAATTTCTCGTGGATCTACAATCGATTCTTCACTGTTCTCACTCGTAAACCGCGGGACATCTACTCGCGAAAGAATAATCGTTAAAGTCGTACACGATTGTTGTTTCCCTTTTCACGGAGTAATAATGACTATAGATGGCTGGCGAATAGAACTGAAGATGAATCGTATTAAAAAGAAATTTCGAATTTTTTATAGGAAATACAAATGCTTGTGGATGTAAGAACAGCTGTTTTGCAGCGAATTAGGTAGAGCAAGCTTTAAGGTGAAAGGTAGTAATTTAGCAAGCGAGATTGTAATTAAAAATCTAGCCCGATTCACCCTTCAATTCCGTTCACTTGTTGTTCGGATTGACTCATTAAAATAAAATAAAAAATTCTTATCGAACAAAATCAATGAATCATACAATGATGATTAACGCGATATTTATTCAGACAACAATGCACTTGTGAAGTAGGTGATATATTAAATACCGTTCTTAATGCAATCTCTTTTCATTGTTCTCCTTTACACGATACTTTTACAACGGTGTAAATACACTTTACAAGTTTGTGAACCTATCTTTACATCGAATCATAGTTGAAGAGTTTTTTATATACATTAACAACGATTAAGCTTGGAAATATTTTTATCTGCTCATGGTCTGTAGGTTTTTTTTTTTTTTTTTTATAAGTTTTATCTCCTCGTGAAGATCTGATGCGCGTGTCATGCACGCATTCGAGATCTAATTACACGTGTGTAAGTCATACCAATTGGCAAGAATCAGCTTCAGCGCCGTTAAGCGCCATACGCCACCGCGTGAAAACGCACGCGAGCGCTCATAATTCCGCTCGTGCTGCACGGTTTGCCAAGAAGAGAACAACAACGGGCAGAGCGCGCATTTGCTTTGCTAATTTATCCATCTAGATAAACGGTCGCAGCCAATCTCGCGGCTTGAAAGTAAAAGCGTGGCGAAGCGCGCCGTTGCGCAAATGCGAATCGCGAAACGATTCCGGGCCCGTAACTTGAGAAAAAGACGTGCTTGGCGCCGAGAAACATCGAGAGCTTTTTCTGCAGACAATAATTCCATAACAGTTGCTCAACTGTCGATGTTGAAGAATTACAGTTATTACGTCTATGTGGCAAATGATCGCGTGAAATTATCGATCAGTTTCGCCGCACATACGTTCGCCTTTTTTATAATGGAGAACCTTCGGATTATTAGTGTCGGTTTACTTAATGCACGTGCTTTGTTTAATGGCACGAAAGAGAGGAAAACTAGCATTCTTTTGACTTTTACGAGCTTAAATAATATTTCATGAATATTTCGAAGTAATTAACATAACCATTTGCATGCAAACACGACGAGATAGAAATTTACCTAGGGCCTAACTTTCTAATGTTTTCAGAATTTTTCGCCTTCCGCTCGGTTCGCTGCCTGCAATATTCGAGCTGGTTTAGCTAGTTCGGAGTAATAAACTATCTCGCAAGAAGAGCGCATCATTTGCGTCTTGCGTGAAACGAGAAAGTGAAATTTCTTTATATATACACGAAACATGCATATTTCCATGTTAGGCATATTAATTGATTAAAAAAAAATTTACTAGTCGCGAAAGGATTAAATGAAAGTGCGATCGTTAATTATCGCACCAAAGCGAATGTAATTAACATCTTCAACAATTTTGTAAAGAAACTTCGAAATTATACTCATATTACAGATTATTATCTGAATAATTTTTATAATTATCATTTTGCTATATTTATTTCCATTTATATTAATTTTTACTTTTACCTGTATATGAAAAGAACAACAAACATATGAAAAGAAATTAAAATTAAAATTTTTAATATTTTCTTTTCTATATGTTTTTTACATAAATGTAAATACAAACATAAAATATAAATTATTGTATTTCACCGCATATCTAACAATTTTAGCACATGCAGTTCGTAAGTAGATACAATATTCTTGGAAAGCAGGAGAATGCGAGTCATCAAGTGCGATGATATTGTTTGGATACGTTCATCTCACCGCAACGATTCCATATTCATCGCCGCAACCGGACGCAGAAGTGCATCCGGAAATTGCGGCGGTACTTGTCCCTTCCGCAAATAAAAACGGTTGCTTTGTGCCGGTAGGCATTCATTAGATCTCGTTAAAGCGGCAGGTTGTATCACGATACCTGCGTTTTCCGCGGCTGCATTCCGTTTGCAGGCGCCGCAACAACAGCGTGACTCTTAATCGGCCGCGTTCGGCCGCGCTACGACGAGCGTATTATTAGTTCCGTGCGCTTTGCACGATGATAATTACGTATTAATGCCAAATTGAGTAACGATCGTTCGCATCTCATTCTGCAGCAGGAGCCGAGACCGGAACTCGACACGAGCAATGGAAGCAGCAACGGCGGCGGAAGGCCGCACTTTGTTCCCGTCACCGCCCTGGAGGACGTGCAGGCGATACGCTGCGCCGAATTTCACCCCCATGGGAAGCTGTACGCCGTGGGATCGAACTCGAAAACGTTACGAATATGCGCCTACCCAAAGTTGCACGATGTCAGGTAAGAGTTACGTTTCCTTTGAACACGTCCATGAACAATCGTGACGTGATTTCTCTTGACGTTCGAGAAAAATTTTCATAAGTATTATATATGCAAAGTACGATATTCGTAAATATTCTCTGATCAATGTTGTGATAATATTTTCATTTTTATTCTAATTAAGACTATAAATATCTTAGAAATATTCTAGAAATAAATAATATTCTACAAAATAATCTTAATGTTTTGATAATTAATGTTATAATAATAATAATATATGATATATGATTATTTGCGCTATATAATAATTTCAAATCGGAGATTTGCATATAATAAATCAGTCTACAACATTGTGTTTTCACGCTCAGTCTGCCGGTGAAGTGCTTTTATCAATAAAGCAGCATTTCACACTTAGCACTTATAAATATGCGTGGACAATCGGTTAACGTCGATATCGAACTTTCTACAAAATGCATTTCATATCGACGGCGGAAGTCCACCCGCGATAGCGGGTGGAAGTTGTTTTGCAACTCGGACGCTCGAGAAATCGCTAAATTGCAAATGCGAGTCAATCGAACCGCAGAAATAATCCGATCGTAACACTGCCGTCTCCGTCCAGAAGCGTGTGTGACAAGCGGAATCTCTTCGATGATGTCGCGTGTAAGCCACTTCGAGATGGCATGTCGACGACTAATGACAGTCTCCGACACGCCACGTTCTTTTCTTCGATGAGGTGCGTTATCCTATTTCGTTACTGTACTCTTACGCAAAGATAATAATTGGGCTCGCGTTACGCAATTATCGAAAAACTCAAACGGTCGGTGAGGAACATACATCACGTCGAGAGGCAGGAGAAATCGGATGAATTTACATTCACGCTTCCGTGACAAACATGAAAAGAGAAAAGGGAAGAAAGAAGGAGAGAAAGAGTAATACATTTCAGCCGGCGAGAATAATTGTAAATTATAACGAATCGGCTAAAGGCCGACCCGATCGTTGGAGAGGAGGAGGGAGGAGGAGGGAGGGGTAATAAAAATTACGGGCAACGGAATGTCTTCACGTCCGCGATAAGCGCGTTTCGTGGACTGAAATTCGCCGCTCGTCGTGGCGATGATAAATCCTGCTCACCCAAGTCTGGTGCCATTTTTAACTCCATGGTGGACACATCTCGGATCCCGAGATAGCGCGCCACGAAAAATGCCGGCGCAAAGCGCGAGAGAAATCACAGCGGCTCTTACAGCGGAACGCTATTCAATAAGCTCGGACTTATCTATCATCTTGATGTGATAATATCAATGCAACTGCGCTCGGTGCAATTAGAATTGAGATCGCGATTAATCAAACGCGTTCTCCCACGTTGCAATGGATATCCCTTATCGCGTGAAAAAAAGGCTCGGCATTGCTAGAAATATCGCGAGCTATAATTTGGTGGAGATTACCTTGTAATATATACGTATGCGATATGCGTATAATAACATGCGATAAGGCGCCGAAAACTTATCGATGTCGTTATTAATACTAGACTTTCAGCTTCGAATGTTTGTGCTTCGAATGCAGGTTGGAGAACAGGTTGGTAATGAATATTTTGCTGAGCAAATGAATAAATGCTCTTCAATTTATAGGTTCATAATTCCAAGGATATAATAAGGATATTACCATTTAGAAAAAAAGCAATTAACGGAAAACAGGGTTCTCGCTAATTAACGGTTATCGTTTAAAAACATCTGATATTTAAGAGTCTATCTATAGTTTATCTTAAGAGTTTGATAAAGACATATTTTAAATTAGCATTATAGAAAGTCGAGAGTAATCTTATGCGATTATGAACTACTCATGAGCTACTTTGACTACAACCGACAAAATCTTTGTTGTCACTCACACGTAACGAAAAAGCTTTGTTATATGTAAATTTGAGGCGGGTCAAGTATAAATTCGCGTCCGCTAAACTAATTTTACGCGGGTATGCTGGCCTAACGAGCGGCAGAGGCCTTCATGCCAAACGGAGCATTCCTGCTCGGCGAATGTGAATTGCCGGTACAGTTTTTTCCATTACCGGCTATCTACGTGCTGTAACGTCGTTTCCGTTTTAATATCGTCTTAAACACAATTTGCAATATTTTATTTTTCCTATAGTTATATTCGCACCTATTGCATTCAATCACATTAATTCAGAATGACATTTTTAATATGATACTTTTTCAAATGCGTTAGGAATCGAAAAATTTGAGGAAGATTGCGTAGATTTAAAGGCGCTCCTAATTTTTGAAGCCAATTTCTAAATTTCAATGCCGATTAAAAAAACATCAGAGCATGTAAATGGATTATAGAAAGTAAGTAACGCTCGCAATAAATGAAAACTGGAAAATGTAAAGTAGTCGCGGGTGAATAAGTAACGAAGTTATAATTAAGAATAATAAAAAGGTAAAAATCTCATTTACACGACGCGGGATAGGAATTACCTGGAATGAAATTGTTTTATCGTTTTTTGAAGTGGCATTATGTTATAGTTCAAGATTGTCTGTTTTGCATTACAAGGTAGACAACAAACGGTCCCCTTTCACTCGCGGAATATTCCGTCTAGAATTCACGGCAGTGCTCATTTAACGCTGTATTACGGTGTTCCGGTAAGTTCAACGAGCTGTAATTTGTGTCCAAAGTCAATAACGCGCAGCGATTTCCATTTGTCCGTTTGCGAGCAACCCCGTATTCCGTTCGGGCAGTTACTTTGCGCGCGGAACGATTTTCGTTGGCGCCGAGAAAGTTTGCACGCGAGATATATTACCGTCGCGCCGCAGAAAATTTATATTTAGCAAAATATAAAGTGCAACAAACGTGTGTATGTCTTACGTAATTTTTTAAGTTATTGCTTAAATAGTCATCAGACGCGGGGGGCATCTTTCAAGCATTGCCGTACAAGTTTATCCTATGTTGCAACAGTCAGGCACGCGAATAAACGGTACGTAAAATCCGTTTAATGGTCTTAAGAAATATGACTATGCTGTTGCAATTACTGGTATTAACGATGCTTATGTGTTTGTAATTACGCGCGGAAAATTACGAGGCATCGCAAAATTGTTTTCACATAGTGATATTTTGCGTCACGGTAGAAGCAAAAGTTAACGTTGACTTGAACGACAGGAAGTCTTGAGCAGGTGGGAACTTAACTTCGTGATCGTTTAATTAGAATCCGATGTACTCCTGTTGCTCGGCTTGAAATTGAGATATCACGAACTTGACACCGCTGATATTTACGTCATATTGCACAGCCAATAAGTTTGCGGTTTTATTACTTGCGCTCCAGATCAAAGCATTTGTCGGTAAATACTTTCACTAGGAGTGTAAAAAGTTTGTGCTTAACTAAGGGTAAAATGGAACGGATACATAGATCACAGTTAAATAGATCATAGATCAGTTAAATACTCTAGGTCACGAGGTCTTGCAGCTATTAAGAAAAAGAAATATCAAAAAACTAGATGTGAAAAGTAATAATTATAATTATAATTAATGTAAATTAGGTACATGTAAACGTGATGGATACGTGTTCGTACACTCACTTAATTGATAAGTGAGAGTGTACTTTTACATATGTCATTTAAAATGTGAATTTCTACTTTTTATTTATATATTTTCTTTTCTTGCACAATTTCTATATCAACTTTCAGATGTACAAAAAATTAGCTGAGTTGAGTTATTATAGAGTTGTCATAGATAATTATTTTAATAATTAAGACTTTTTTTATATGTGCGTCGACATTTACGATATTGCTTCGATTCTGACAACATATTTCTATTTTTTTTTAAACGAAACGTAAAGTATTTTAAAAGTCAACTAATGAAATGAGAATTATTCAAAAATAAAATATATATAGCAAGATTTAATGTCTTAAATTTAATTCCTTAAATCTTGCTATTATTATAACAAATTGGATTTTAATCTATTAGAAATTGAATCTGAAAGAAAATTTCTTTAGAAATTCCATCGTTTTTATAAAAATTATTTTTACAAAATTCTCATCACTCAAATTTCATTGAAAAATTTCTAACATCATATTCATATTCTAATATGCAGTAATATGTTAATTGTTCTCTTAAATAACAGTGCGTAGTAATTCCATCACTTTTATCACTTGGTACGAACCTCTTCTCCAATTATGTCGTTATTATCCGGAGAAACCGCCTCTGCGAATAATCGTATCGTCACTTTCGAAAGTCGTTCCTCTTCGACGCTCGCTGGAAATTGCGGCAGAAGTGACGTTAATCTCGCGCGTCATGCTCAAGCCGAACGAATTCAAGAGGACAAATAATAATTAACAACCGAGGAAAGATTTTGTAAGGGAACGTCTTGATCGGCAGACGCAATCGGGAAGGCAAGCGATCACGATCTCACACGCGTCGACTGCGCGTGGTGAGAAAAGAGCTATGCTTAATTAAAATCTGCATAAAAATCGACGCCGTGAAAGCGGTGCGCCGTCTCTTTAAGATCGTTGATCGCCTCTCCCTCGTTTCCACGGCCGAACTTCGCAGCCAGCGACGTGCACAGTATGCAACGATATCGGCTTCAATTAGAGTCGCGGCTGATGAAGGCTGGGAACGAGGAAGGAGAACAGCTCAATGAAAGAGACCGCGAGCATTCTTCGTTCTCCTTGGGACAGATTGATTGGCTCGCGAAATAGAACGAAATGAAATCGGCTTCTTTAGACGGATGATTTATGCCGTTGCGAATCGTTGAAATATTTATTATATGCTTGATGCACCGCTTGTTTTTTCAGGGAAGATCATCAGACATATCAACCCACCGTTCTCTTTAAGAGAACGAAACATCACAAGGGTTCCATATATTGTCTCGCATGGACACCAGACGGTCGGCTGATTGCAACCGGAAGCAACGACAAAACCGTCAAGTTAATGCGCTTTAACGCCGATACTTCGAATCTTGAAGGTATTTACTTGATAATCGAAGACAAATGTGATTTTGAGGCTTAATGTCTCGTGGCCGTACAAATTTGGCCATGGCCTTAGCCCATTTGTATTCTAAATTTTTTACATGACAATAAATATTTATATATATAAATTATGAAATTTTATCGTTGAAATTGCGTTTCTTTTACAGACTTTGTATCTCAGGTGCTCAGGTGTTGTTCATTTAGAAATTTATTGTGTAGTTAGTTTGTTGTCATCTGATCGGATTAAAATAATTAAAAAATTTAGTAGTTCTTGATTACGATTACATAATCGATTTTATATATTTAATCATCAGGGCAAGAGGTCGAATTGACTATGCACGATGGTACCGTACGTGACCTGTGCTTCCTCGAAGACACATCAAACAAATCGAGCCTTCTGATCAGCGGAGGTGCTGGCGATTGCAAGATTTACGTTACCGATTGCACGACTGGTACACCTTTCCAGGCCTTGAGTGGTCACAGCGGCCACGTGCTGACGCTTTACAATTGGGGCGGAGCGATGTTCGTCAGCGGATCGCAGGATAAAACAGTTAGATTTTGGGATCTCAGGACGAGAAGCTGCGTTAACATGGTTACACCTGCGACGGTACCTGGCAGCCGGGTGAGTCGGGTTTCTCCGCCGATACGTCTGTGGTCATTAAAGATAAAAATTAAAACGAAAATAGATTAGAAATTTTTATCATCATTTGATCAGTTCAATTCGCCATCGGCATCATCAGCATCTTTTTGTTCCATTGTGATATTGTTGCTTTTACGTTCGATAAATATTCGATCTATATTAAACCGCATCACCATCTCTTCCGTTCGCAAAACATTTTGTTATTTTTTTTTTTTTTTGTTTGGATTGAATCTTTATCGAACGTTTCCATCGATATGTCGGGAATAAAGACGGCATTGTTTGTCTGATCAGCATCTGATTCCATTGCAGGTCGGCAGTCCTGTAGCTGCGCTATGCGTGGATCCTTCTGGCCGACTGTTGGTGTCCGGTCATGAAGATAGCAGTTGCGTTCTCTTTGATATTCGCGGCGGTAGAACGGTGCAGTGCTTCAAACCTCACGCGGCAGATATTAGGAGCATACGATTCTCACCGTCAGCGTATTACTTATTGACGGCGGGATACGACAACAAATTGGTACTCACAGACTTGCAAGGTGGGCCTGTCCATTGATTTTAATTTCTCATTACTTATAGTATTGTTAATGCTTTTACAAATGTTATAATAATAGAATTAGAAAAGCATAATGAAAAAAAATTTTGTAGGCGATCTTACGATGCCTCTACCTAGTGTCGTAGTTGCTCAACATCAGGACAAAGTCATCTCTGGACGTTGGCACCCGACGGAGTTCTCGTTTCTCAGTACTTCTGCTGACAAAACTGCAACTCTATGGGCCTTACCACCTGTTTAAAGATTCAGCATGATAATTCATGCACAGTTATTTATTCATTTATTCAAATGTTCTTTTCAGAACATTTTAACACAGTAATTCATCTTTGACAATATTTTCTAGATTTATTTCATTTACGTTGGATTGATCCCACAAAAAGTTCATGTTTTGATTTTGACAAATAATTCCATAGATATAACAACAAAACACGAAATTTCGTATTAATTTTCTAACTTTGCATATTTTTACACAGTTTAAGTATTTCTTACATGACCAATTAAAATATTAATTTATATGACTGCATTATTAATTCGCAGCGTAATGCATTGATACGAAAGTAAAACGTTTAAATGATTAAAACGTAATGATTAAACACGCTTCGAAAACTCGGGTTAAAAAGGGATAAAGAACGCGATATCATGCGAGCATTTATAGTATTATTTTTAACTATGAATTTGATATTGGGAATCATAAGACTGCGGATGAATAATCCCTCGCTTCTATAATGCTTTAGAGCTATGCGAAGTTGGTTCGTGTACATCGTTTGTTTTAAATATCTTCTTTTTCACAACATGAGGATGGATTTTCAAATTTCGAAAGATATTTTTCTGATACAACACATGCGTACTTATTAGAACTGTGTTGTGATGTGTCCTTTCTCCCAGTCTCTTTTAATATAACTTTGTTATAATTAGAGATGTCTGTATTTTGTAGATACATTGATCTAAGTTAAGCGAATTTTAGGAATACGTTCTTGTACAAAGGACGTGTTAATTTCTAGTTTTAAATGCTCTCTTATTTTCGCTCAGTATCATGTTTTTGCATTTTTAAATAGAATTGCTCTATTTCTCATTTTATTCTTGAGTTGTTAAAAATTGTTGCTACAATTATTGCAACTTACGCGCGTGTTTATTTTACATGCTCCTTTAGATGCTCCTACTTCCATCTCCATATTATCGACTCACAAGCCAAATATACACACGCGTTCTAGTACATAGTCTATATAAATATATATATGTATTCGCGAAAGAAATTATACGTACGCTCATACTAATTGCTATTTTTTACGGACTAAAATAATTAATATAAATCAAGAGAGCGTCAAGCAATTACGCGATTCGTCGCGACATGTGACTAAGTTTATGCGATTTGCGCAAAGAAGAAGATAGTATTCTTTAGTATAAAGTCGTAAGGACTAACAAGGTTTAAGATTTAAGATTTAGATTTAAGTTGCTTGTCGCAATCGCCAAAGCTCGTAATAGCAGCGAAACTAAAAAAAAAAGAGAGAGAAAACTGCGCATTACTTTGTGCTGTCAAAAGCAATTTTTTCCCCATCGATTATTCGTAGTGATTCGATGGTTGAATATGGGACAAAGATTTTGTAAATACATAGCAATTGAATTTGGCAATTGTTTGATTTAATCATTAATTTGCCAAGTGATGATGCATACACTCATATCATTATTTGTTTTATCCATACTTCGACATTAACGCTCTTAAGAGCAAGTTTTATTTTGTCTTGTTAGCATATCTTTTCGGCGTACGGACAAATCGCGAATATATTCAAGGAAAATGAGAAAGAAGTGTTAAAGAAGTGTAAGAGGTAAAAACATGAAGACAAAATGAGTGAATAATAGAAAGTTAAAATTAATCTCTTTTTATTTAATAAGTTGATTTTTTGTGTTTATTTGCAAGATCGAATGCATTAATATTTATTACAATTAATTAACTTTTTGTTGTATAAAAAAAGGAATGTTTTGTAAAATTAATTAAATGTTTTACTCACATTTCTTAGCTATTTCTTAATGTCGTGTAATTTGGCAATTTCTTAAAATAATTTTGAGAGATTTAATGTTTTATGAGATATATATATATATATATAATAAATATTTTTGTATTCGAAAACCTAATTTTTAGCTATTATATATATATATCATATTTTGCTATTTAACAATTTTGTTTCACATATTTTGTAACGATCAGATTTAACGAAAGATCAGAATGATGATGGTAAGCAAACGGATCGGAAGCGATTATTTGTTAATAGTAACTCAATGCAATCATCTGCTTCCATGTAGCAATTTATCGTGCCTTCTGTCGTAGCTGCTTTCGGCGATTTACATTTATTTTTATATCTTTTGTGAGTTCTTATCCTTCCTCCTCCTCCTTCTCCTTTTCCTCCTCCTCCTCCTCTTCCTCTTTACGCTCCTCATTTTTCCCTGCAATGATAATTTTTCCTCCTCATCTCACAATATATCCAAACGAGATCACAAACGTCTAAAGTAAAAATCTCCCATTATCTCGTACTCGAGTATTACCGCATAACGCACTCTATATACATATAACATAACTTATAACTTTGTACTTTTCTTGTAGATACAATATAATATGTCACGTTTAATTTAAACAATAAAATTTATGTTATTAAGATGATTGTATTGTTAATAATGAAAATCGCATCCAAAAAACCCATCAAAGTTCCATCAGAAGATCTGCCGCCGCGCGATCTCATTCGGGCCAGTTTTTCGGAAATTTGGGTAATCGGACCGATTAGAGGCTGCCGTAAGAAAGAAATTATCATCGGCGTGATGGGTTCGTATCATAGTGTATATATGCCATGAAAGCTCGATCGATTTTTTATAAATTTCCCATAATGACTGTAATCATGCAATCTTCCACCCGCATGTATTACCTATGGCGCCGAATTCAACGCTCTATGGACCCGATTCCGTGAAGTAGAGATGTAAACCGTTCTAGTCTCGAAAATTTTAATGAGAATCATTAAATGGAGATCATTTAATGGAGAACCAGTAATTTCAACTTGGAAAGAGCATGTTTTTGTCGATTATGGAAAAACTGCCGCCGACAATAAATCATGTCTGCTGATTGCACCGAACAGGTAAAAAATTCTCGATATATAATTGTATGATTTTCGTAAAATTAATAAAAAAAGTAAATTAGTTCACTTTAAAAATAAGTACTAATATTTATATTATAAAAAAAAAATTAAAATCAAAATTCGAATGATCTATCGGAAAGAATGATTTTTATTAAAGTATATCAAAATTTGGCCGGATACAGATCTGAAAATTGATAATTTTATTGACTTATTAAAATAACTATACAGGACTTAAGTTTGATTATGTTGTCAAAATGTTTTTAATATTCTAACAACCAATTTGAATAATTATTTTGATGGTCCAACAAAATTATTTTTAGATCTATATCCAATCAAATTTTTATATAGATACTTTAACTAAAATCTATTTTCATATACTTTAAAGTTTTTAAAAGATAAAATTGAATGATTAAAAACTGTATAAAAATAATATCTTTTATATTGTAAGCCTTTCTTCGGATAAACTTACCGAACTTCATCAAAGTTAAAATGAAAAGAGAAGAACAGCGAAAGGTAACCGTCGCAATTCCGTGATTTCTGGATCTAATCCTGTGCTCCGGAAAGCTCCCTGGGGCGAGGACCCACCCACGGAATTCCTATGCGTCTGTCGGGGCCATCTGTCGATTCGACGAATCTGGTTGATTTGGCGCTTTGGGATTTTTCGAAATCCTCACCGCGGGCCATATTATGAACCCTAATTACTGTCGGTGCGCGATGCTCGGTCCCGGGACGAGCATGGACACGTTACCCAGGTCCCCGAAGATAAATGTTTCTGTGTTTTATAAGGCCCACCTACAAAATCAGGGTCCCGCGTGATGTGCCTCGCACAGTCTTCAGGAATGTCCCCCGAGGTGCGACGTTTCCTTGCTAATTCTATGTTTCTATTGTGATTTGCTCGATGATATTTGGCAATGGACTCTAATTCGAATTTTTAGGATTCCGAAAACTACCCAATACCTTCTGGTTGGAAGAAAACGAACTTCAATACGCCTCGGGATCATCCGGGAAATATCATCCGAGTGTCCCGCTCAAATTGCGATCAAACATGAATGTCGCAAATATAATTTGATATTCTCAAAGCTCGTTTATTTAAGAAGAATCAAAATTCTGCAATTCAGTTTCGGAATTGCTTGAGTTCTTTGGTGGAAACATGTGAATAAATATAGGCTTTTAGTTAGAGTTGGATAAGGATTAGTCTCCATGATCAGGAACAAGTGATGTTTACCAGCAAGAAACGAGGAACTTAAAAAGAAGAGACGTGCGATGATGCATTAGATTCGTACCGTTAAATAATTCATCACGCAAGTATTCAAATTAATGACGTATTACGAGAATCACCTCCAATCAAGAGCTGGAACGCACGAATTGTATACGCTATCATTTCCACAGAGATTCTCATGCATACACTTCTTTATTTTATTTTTTATTGCATTTTATATATTATGCTATATTTTTCTCCTATGGTAAGAATTGAATTAAAAAAGAAGAAATAAAATTATAAAATTTAATGCGAAAAATATGAAAATAATTTTAGTAATATATAACTTCCTATAATTTTAATTTCAAATATGCAAAAAATTGATTAATATATACAAGATTTCTAGATTTTTTTTAAAGATAAATTCTTTGATTAATTTAAAGAATATCATTTAACATATTGACTGCCGCACCAGTAACCGGTATTCGGCATTATTAAGTTTAATATATAATAAAGGAAAAAAAACTCGTGAATAATAATATTTACAATTGTATTTAACTATCAATTTAATATTTTAAAATAACAAGTGTGTATGAATATATAAATATTTATTTTTAATTATATTATGTAAATTTAAGCAAACATATATAAATACAGAAATAAACAGATCCGACCTTCAACGAATTAATAATTTTTATTTCATCAGTTATGAAATCGAGGATATTAGTTTTCTTATTTCTTAATCCCCCATCATTACGTATCCGACCCACACCGGCGTAAGATTTCGTTTTTAAAAAATTGTATCTGAGACGTTGACGAATTTACTTGCGTATCGCTGGCAGTCCAAATCGCATTCAAATGAGGAGAGAAAAGGCGGCCCCTCGTTGTGGGGCACCTAAAAGCAAAACGATCCCCGCCGTATAAACGCGGCGCGTCCCCGACTGCCGCGTGTAATCATTCTCGGAAGGGTAATTCCTGTGGCCGGGAGATAATAATAATTTGAATCGCGGCCACTTAGCATACGTGCAATTTGGCGTTTAAGACGATTCCGTCCTCCTCGCCTTCGCTGCGGCACGCAGCCATCGTCGTCGTCGTCATCGTCGTCGTCGTCGTCGTCGTCGTCGTCGTCGTCGTCGTCGTCGTCGTCGTCGTTCCGG